GTCCATTCATTGCTTCAAGAAACGGCTTCACAACTGGGGACTTAAAGGCTTGTGAGTGGCCATCTAAGATGCAACAACTGGCCTCTCTGCATTCAGAGCCAAGGAGAGTGGATAAAATCAAAGACACATGGAAAGAATTCATCCAAAGGACCAAGGGTCCATGAGAACCTCCGCCTATATGACATTGAGACCAGAAGAACCCGATGCTGCCTGGCAACTACTGCCAAGCACTGCCTACCACTGGGAAAGGGATCAACATCGGAGAGCCTGGATAGAGTGGGATACAAATATGAATCAAAACTCAAAATCCTAGAAACCATCAGGTTCTTTGAGCCTTGGAATTGAACTCACTCCTGTGGCTTAACTTTCAGCCAAAAAATAGGCCTAAGAAGTGAACAATTGCACCAGGGAGGTGCACTCCTTAGATCAACCATGGGACATGACATGGGTAGCGTTTGAGCAGGGAGAAAGCCCAGGTGGCAGGAATGCATAGGAAAGAAGGGCACAGGGAGGTAACCACAGGAGGAAGTGGGAAGAGAGCTCATACACTGGGAGGATGGCAATCAAACTCATGAAACAAAAAATGTATGAACTGTAGACTGGAAAACACATTTGTTCTGTAAACTTTCACCCAAGTCACAATCAAAAAAAAAAAAAAAAGTAAATAAAAAGGACCAGCTTCAACAGAAAGTACAAGAGCAAGCCCATGGTGACCGGACAAAAGAGTGTCACAGAGTAAAGAAAGGCCACTTTTAATTTACTGAAACTCAAGGGATCTTCTCTTCATTGATTCCACACCTAATTTGAAGGTTAATGGCAACGTCATGTGCAAAACACAGATGAATTTGTGTCAGCATACAAAAACGACCATTTAAATCTTATTACAATACTAGTGAGATAAAGTAAAAGTACAAAAGTAGATAGTCGCTCAGAATGAATTTCTGATACAAAATAAATTATCTTTATATAGTGCCTATGGCACTTGACTGAGAAAAAGAAAGCTGACAGTTCAAACCCAGAAGACACTCCTCAGAGGGAAGTTTGGAGAATCTACTTCCCTAGTGACACTGCCTCGGAAACCCGAGGAGGGGTCGTTGTGAGTCGGATCCGACTTGAATGCACATAACAACACAACAACAACTATTACAAAGAATTTAGTTTTGCTGCAAAAGGCACATAAACTTTTTAAGTCCTTCTCTGAGTTGTCAATAAATGAATTGTTTTTTAAACCATCCTAATGGAGTATGAAACACAGCACTGCCCACTTTCCCATTAGAATAATGTTTCTCAGCACTGTGCACCAGGAAATCAGAGTATCACAAAAAGAAAAAGGAGAATGGGTGTACCTGTGGCTCAGGGTCCTTCTCTGGCATTAAGCCAAAATTATCTGAAATGTGTTTTTTCATTGGCTCCGGAAGAGCATCTAACCAGGAAAGAGACTGTTGATAAACCAAGTCATGAAGATTGGTGAGTTCTTCATATTCTGGACCCTCCTCCACCTTGTCAAGGAAAAGGGAACAACCATTTGACCAATCTGTCGTTATCAAATACCTTACGCACTATGCCAGCAGAGCTCCATACAGGACATAAAGACCACATGTACATAGTTTAGTTGAAAGACTTTTGCCAACTCATGTAAGCACTACTCTAAATTAGAGAGAACATTTTCATCATCTAAAATGATTCCTGAACCCCCTATTCCGGTCAATTACACCTTCTAGCCCACAGCTGGGAGCTCTGGTGGCATATAACACAAAAGCTGCTCCAAGGAAATGAGGCAACATATTTCCACTCCACAAAGATTTACAGCCATGGAAAGCAAACAGGCTAGCTATGAGTACCAAATGACTCAATGGCAATGGATTTTCTTTCTTTCTTAAAGCCCAAAGGTGACTTCCATCACCAGTGGACACTGCCCATTTCTGAAAGGCATAAAAATGGCAATCATACAGTCTGCCAATTTGTGTCTGGCTTCTCCCACGAAGCACGTCTATCTAGGAGTTGTCCACGGGCTTTCATGTATTAGTAGGTTCTTTCTTTTTGTTGCTGAGTAGTATTCTGTTGCACGAATATACCACAGTTTGTTTTTCCTTTCACTTGGCTAATGGACACTGGGGCTATGTTTAATTTTTGGCTACTACTAAGACAGCTGTGGACATTTTTTAGAAGTCTTTTTGAGAATCTCTTCAAACATTTCATTAATCTCTCAAATTGTTTGTCCTTATGTATCTATTCAGGAGCTCTAGTAGTGTAGTGCCTAAAGCACTTGACTGCTAACCAGAAGGCTAGTGGTTCAAACCCACTAGCCACTCCTTGGAAGGAAGGTTGGGCAATCTACTTCCAAAGTAATACCTCCTCAGAAACCCAAGGAGGGGTCGCTATGAGTCGGTCGGACTCAATGGCACATAACAATAACAACAATGAATCTATTCACCAAAACTCACTGCCATTGAATCAATTTTGACTCACAGCGACCATCATTGGGCTTCCAAGGCTGAAAATCTTTACTGAAGATTACTGCCTAATCTTTGTTCCATGGATCAGGTTGTGGGTTCAAACCAGCAACCTTTCGGGTAGCAGCCACAGGTCTTAACCACTGCACCACCATTGCTCTGTAATTTATCTATGAAGGCACATACATGACTCTTGAGGGTTACAATTCCAAGTCCTTTTAATTTACATATAAAAGCTATTTTTAAGCAAAACTGCTTTATTTTATGCCTCGATGTGAACGAATATCATTATCTAGAATAGGGACTCAGCAAACTACTGCCTGCAAATTGTAACCTGCACAGTACATGTTTTTGTAAATGAGGTTTTCTGGGAAAGCAGTCGTGCCCATCATTGATGGACTGTCTGTGTCGTCTTTTACATTAAAACAGCACAGCTGAGTAGATGTGTCAGGGAGTATATGGGGCACAACACCTAAGAGATTCACTATCTTGCCCTTTACACAAAATTAGATGACCCCCTGCCTTTTGCAATGTGCATGCTGACATGGTCCCTAAGGACTGGGAGGTTAAGTTTTGTAGGAGAGACTTTCTTTATCAGCTCCAATCTAGTCAGACATCCCCTAAGGTAATGTTTAACTTAAATGCCGAATTAAGGAAAACCTAAGTAGTATTATCAATAAAAATATGACAAAGTTTTCCCACAATGCCAAGGGAAACAAGAAGACTGACTTGCAACATTACCTTTTCATCTTCAAGATACTCAACATCCACAGTGTTCAAACCACCCCGCTGACGATGGCGTAAGACTCTGAACCGACGAATTCCAATTGTTTCTACAATTGACCTTCCATAACAGAAAGAATTGATCCTGATAATCTCCATCAGGCAGCCATACTCTGAAATACTGAAAGGACAGTTAAGAGAAATGTGTATATTTTAAATGTGTGAGGTCTTTAGTTTTCCCTAAATGAAGAATTTGAGTGGAAGGGAGGGAGGTGGCTGTAGCTATAAAATGTTAG